AATTAGTTTTTGTATATGGTGTGAGGTATGGGTCCTGTTTCATTTTTTTGCAGATGGATATCCAGTTTTGCCAGCACCATTTGTTCAAAAGACTGTCTTTTCCCCATTTGATGGACTTTGGGCCCTTGTGGAAGATCAGGTGACCGTAGGTGGATGGATTTACATCTCGGTTCTCAGTTCTGTTCCATTGGTCAGTGTTTATCTGTCGCTGTACCATAGATTTTTATTAAGCACCACTTTTGTGTAGTTATTCTTTCTGGGTCCCTCTTGTCCTTCAGTCCTAAGAGTGGTAACAGTTCATCCTCTTCTTGCTAGCTAGCCCCTGAGAACTGCACCATCCTCATTTTTTTTTTTAAATCCTGCCCAATCTTTGGAAAGAGCCACTTTCTTAAAATCTCTTCAATTACCCCACTTGAGTGTGCCATATGTTTCCTGACAAAACCTTGACTGATATAATTATCCGTTTTAAAAATTAGTTGTCTTAAAAATGAAATGCAAATTAATTCAGTATAAGTCTGGCTACTGATTTCATTACTTCATTTTCTGTTCAGATACTCCACTAAACATAAAGCGCACGTCCTCCTTTTGGTTGTGTTGTTGTTGTTGTTAGGTGCCATTGAGTCAGTTCCGAATCATAGCAACCCTTTGTACAACAGAACAAAAGAGTGCTTGGTCCTGCGCCATCCTCACAGTTGTTGCTATGTTTGACCCCATTGTTGCAGCCAATGTGTCAATCCATCGCATCCAGAGTCTTCCTCTTTTTTTGCTGGCCCTCTGCCTTACCAAGCATGATGTCTGTGTTAGTTATCTAGTGCTGCTATAAGAGAAGTACCACAGGTGGATGGCCTTAACAAAGATAAATTTATTTCCTCAGTGTAAAGTAGGCTAAAAGTCCAAATTCAGGGCGTCAGCTCCAGGGGAGGGCTTTCTCTTTCTGTTGGCTCTGGAGGAAGGTCCTTCTCATCAATCTTCCCCTGGACTTGGAGTTTCTCTGTGCAGGAACCTTGGGTCCAAAGGTCGTGCTCTGCTCCTGGCACTGCTTTCTTGGTGGTATGAGGTCCCCCATTGTCTGCTCTTTTCCCTTTCCTTTTATCTATTGTAAGATAAAAGGTGGTGCAGGCCACACTCCAGGGAAACTCTCTTTACATTGGATCAGGGATGTGACCTAAGCAAGGGTGTTACATCCCACCTTAATCCTCTTTGACATAATCTAATCTTGCCTCATTAACCACAGGCAAAGATTAGGATTTACAACACATAGAAAAATTATATCAATCACAAAATGGAGGACAACAACACAATACTGAAAATCATGGCCTAATCAAGTTGACACATATTTTTGGGGGATACAATTCAATCCATGACAATGTCCTTCTCCAAGGACTGGCCCCTCCTGATAACATCTCCAAAGTAAGTGAGACAAAGTCTTGCCATCCTTGCTTCTAAGGAGCATTCTGGCTGTACTTCTTCCAAGACAGATTTGTTCTTCCTTCTGGCAGTCTGTGGAATATTCAACATTCTTCACCAACACTGTAATTCAAATGCATAATTCTTTGGTCTTCCTTATTCATACACTCATTAATTGGTCATACACATTAAATATTCATTTGTTGTACACTCATTAAATGTGCTGAGACTTCAAAAGGAAAGAAAAATCTGGGTGTTAGGGTAAGCAGAGAAAGCACAATCTAAATGGTAAAAGGCAGATGACATTAAAAGATATTTTAAAGTAACCTTTAAAAACAGAAAACATAGTATTCTAATAATGATCACAAGCACTTACATAAAGCTTCCTATATGCCAGACAGTATTCTAAGCAATTTACGTATATTAACCAATTTATCTTTCACAGCAACTCTATGAGGAGACCCTCTTCCCATTTTACAGATGAGGAAACTGAGGCACAGAGCATTTAAATAACCCAGTTAGTCTGGTTGTATAGCCTGTGTTCTTAACTATGATGCCATGCTGTTGTTTTAATGGTTTTGCTGATAAAACTGCTAAAAAATAATAAATACTAGATATTATATTAATGAATAAGTTTATAATAGTAATGTAACAGAAGAACATGGGTTTTAGAAGTAAAGTTGGGTTTGAATCCGAGGTCTGACAGTTTAAATTTAAACTCTTCCTTAATAGTTCTTCAGGCCTTAAATTTTTCTTTCTTGCTACTCTTTCCCCCATAAATCGTGAATCTGCATGAAATATGTTATTTGGTACTGTTAGTGCATTCACATTTTAACATAGAATTTAATGTTTTTCTCTAGGTTTATGATCTGTGAATATGTCTTCTAACAAACGACGTGTTATTAATAAATTTGGAATAATATCTTCTTCTTACTATGAAAAACTCTTCAAATGTAATAGTCAAAATTTAAATAAATCAAGGAGTGGCAAACCAACGTAAGTTTGAAAAAAAGTTTGTGTTATTAAAGTAAGGGACCCGTATACATTGTAGAGAATTTACAAAGTACAGAAAATTGTGAATAATAAAATAAGCATCCACAGGTCTATAACCAAGGATAAAAATGTTAAATTTTACTACTTTAAAATAAATAACTTTTTTGTAATTATCATATACTTTCTAAAATTTTGAATTCTACTCTTTTTATTTGAAATAAGTATTTTTCTGTATTGATATATCTTTTAAGATTCCATAGTCATAAAACGCATAAGAAAAAGTGTTTGATAACGACTTGTATTGTGAAGTATTTTAATTATTTATAAGTCATGATGGAGTGTTTTTCTGTATTTCAGATTGTTTCCTTGGGTTAACAGTTTCTAAAATGAAATTTCTATATTAATGTTTATAGGTAATTTATGAATTTTGGATGATTTTTAAATATTAAGAAAATTTAAAAAATGTAAAAAGTTGTTGTTGTTAGGTGACATCTAGTTGCTTCCGACTCATAGCGACACTGTGTACAACAGAATCAAACACTGCCCGGTCCTATGCCATCCTCACAATCCTTGCTATGTTGGAACCCACTGGTGCAGCCATTATGTGTCAGTCCATCTCATCTAGGGCCTTCCTCTTTTTGCTGACCTTCTGCTTTACCAAGCCTGATGTCCTCCTCCAGGGGCTGGTCCCTCCTGATAACATGTCCATAGTAAGTGAGACGAAGTCTTACCACCCTTGCCTCTAAGGAGCATTCTGGCTGTATTTCTTCCAAGACAGACTGGTTCATTCTTCTGGCAGTCCATGGTATATTCAGTATTCTTCACCAGCACCATAATTCAAAGGCGTCAGTTCTTCTTCTGTCTTCCTTATTCATTGTCCAGCTTTTGCATGCGTGTGAGGCAGTTGAAAATATCATGGTGTCGGTCAGGCACACCTTAGTCCTCAAAGTGGTGTCTTGGCTTTTTAACACTTTAAAGAGGTCTTTTGCAGCAGATTTGACCAATGCAATACATCGTTTGATTTCCTGACTGCTGCTTCCATGGACGTTGATTGTGTATCCAAGTAAAATGAAATCCTTGACAACTTACAATCTTTTCTCCATTTATCATGATGTTGCTTATTGGTCCAGTTGTGAGAATTTTTGTTTTCTTTATGTTGAGTTGTAAACCATACTAAAGGCTGTATAGTCTTTTATCTTCATCAATAAGTGCTTCAAGTCCTCTTTACTTTGAGCAAGCAGGGTTGTGTCATCTGCATATCGCAGCTTGTTAATTAGTCTTACACCAATCCTGATGCCACATTCTACTTGATATAATCCAGCTTCTCAGATTATTTGCTCAGCATACAGATTGAATAAGTAGGGTGAAAGGATACAACCTTGACACATACTTTTCTTGACTTTAAACTATGCAGTATCCCCTTGTTCTGTTCAAATGACTGCCTCTTGGTCTATGTACAGGTTCATCATGAGTGCAAGTTAAGTGTTCTGGAATTCCCATTCTTCAAAATGTTGTCCATAATTTGTTATGATCCACACAGTCTAATGCCTTTGCATAGTCAATACAACACAGGTGAACATCTTTCTGGTATTCTCTGCTTTCAGCCAAGATCCTTCTAACATCAGCAGTGATACCCCTAGCTCATTCCACATCCTCTTCTGAATCCAGCTTGAATTTATGGCAGTTCCCTGTCGATGTACACAGCTGTAATCTCTTTTGAATGATCTTCAGCAAAATTTTACTTGCATATGATATTGTTGGATAATTCCACTTTGTATTGGATCTCCTTTATTTGGAATGGAGACAAGTATGGATCTCTTCCAGTCAGTTAGCCAGGTAGCTGTCTTTCAAATTTCTTGGCATAGGTGGGTGAGCACCTCGTGCACTGCCTCCCTTTCTTGAAACATCTCAGTTGGTATTCTGTCAATTTCTGGAGCTTTGTTTTTTTTTTTTTGTTTTTTTTTTTAACTAATGCTTTCAGTGCAGCTTTGACTTCTTCCTTCAGCACCATTGGTACTTGATCATATGCTGCCTCCTGAAATGGTTGAACGTCGACTAATTCTTTCTGGTTCAGTGATGATGTGTATTCTTTCCATCTGGTTTTGATGCTTCCTGCGTTATTCAATATTTTGCCCATAGAATCCTTCAACACTGCAGCTCGAGGCTTAAACTTTTTCTTCAGTTCTCTTAGCTTGAAAAATACGAAGTGTATTCTTTCCTTTTGGTTTTCTAACTCCAGGTGTTTGGACATTTCATTATAATACTTTACTTTGTCTTCTTGAGCTGCCCTTTGAAACCTTCTGTTCAGATCTTTGACTTCATTTCTTCTGTTTGCTTTAGCTACTCAATGTTTAAAAGTATGTTTCAGAGTCTCTTCTGACATCCATTTTGCTCTTTTCTTTCTTTCCTGTCTAATGACCTTTTGCTTTCTTCATGTGTAATGTCTTTGATGTCATTCCACAACTCTTCTGGCCTTTGGTCATTAGTGTTCAATGCATCAAATCTATTCTTGAGGTGGTCTCCAAATTCAGGTGGAACATACTCAAGGTCATTTTTTTGGCTCTCGTGGACTTATTTTAATTTTCTTCAGCTTTAACTTGTACTTGAATGTGAGCAATTGATGGTCTGTTCCATAGTCGGCCCTTGACCTTATTCTGACAGATGATATTGAGCTTTTCCATCATCTCTTTCCACACATGTAGTTGATTTGATTCCTGTGTTTTCCTTCCCATGAGGTCCAAGTGTATAGTCGCTGTTTATGTTGTTGACAAAAGATATTTGCAATGAAGAAGTCATTGGTTTTGCAAAATTCTGTCATGAAATCTCCAGCTTCATTTCTATCACCAAGGGCATATTTTCCAACTACTGATCCTTCTTCGTTTCCAACTTCCGCATTCCAATCACCGGTAATTATCAATGCATCTTGATTGCATGTTTACATGAATTTCAGACTGCAGAAGTTGGTGTGTAAATTTGAATACTAGTTGTATTAACTTGTCTTCCTTGTAAGCTCATGGATATTATCCTATCACTAACAGCGTTGTACTTCAGGACAAATGTTGAAATGTTCTTTTTGATAGTGAATGCAACACCATTCCTCTTCAAGTTGTCATTCCTAGCATATGTTTGTCTTTTTCAAAATGGCCAATACCAGTCCATTTCAGCTCACTAATGCCTAGCATATCGATGTTTATGCATTCCATTTCATTTTTGATGACTTACAGTTTTTCTAGATTCATAATTTGTACATTCCATTTTCCGATTATTAATGGATGTTTACAACTGTTTCTTCACATTTTGATTCATGCCACATCAGTAAATGAAGGTCCCAAAAGCTTGACTCCATTCACGTCATTAAGGTTGACTCTTCTTTGAGAAGGTCTTCCCCAGTCGTGTTTTGAGTGCCTTCCACCCTGAGGGGCTCATCTTCTGGCACTCTATCAGACAGTGGTCCACTGCTATCCATAAAATTTTCACTGGCCAGTTTTTTCAGAAGTGGACCGCTGGGTCCTTCTTCCTAGTTTGTCTTATTCTGGAAGCTCCGCTGAAACCTTTCAACCAAGGTGACCCTGCTGGTATTTGAAATACCGCTGACAAAGCTTCCAGTATCACAGCAGCATGGAAGCCACCACAGTATGACAAACTGGCAGACATGTGGTGGATGTAAAATATATAGTACAGAATAGAACTTACATGTGGACCTATTGTTATATTTGTTTCAAATATGTTTCTTTAACAAAAAGTATTTCAACCAATAAAGTTGTTCTTTGACCACATGCCTTCCCAACTACAGTAATTGTGGCGTGTATCATTCCAGTTCATTTTTTACATTAATATACATGAATATAAAAATCATATTTTGCAAGTGTATATAAATGACACAGTGGCTGCAATAATGAGCCCAAACAAAGCAACAATTGTGAGGATGGTGCAGGACCAGGCAGTGTTTCCTTCTGCTGTACATAGGGTCACTATGAGTCAGAAACGACTCGATGGCACCTAACAACAACAATATAAATAAAATTATACCTAATGCATTTATGTGTAGCTAGCTTTTTAAAAACCACCATTATGTTTTTAATTCAATTAATATTGATAATTATGTATTTCCTTCATTTGTTGTAATGTCTACATAATGTTCATTTCCCCTTATCTTCACCGACACCTGATGATGTCAGACTTCTTAATTTTTGGCAGTAGATCAGAAGTGGTAATTGCCTGATAACTAATTAAATACATTTTCATGACATTTAATGATACTGAGCATCTTTTTATATGTTTGTTTCCATTACAGTAATGTTTCTGAATTATCTGTTTTTGTAATTGACCTATTTCCTTTTGTGTTGTCTTTTTCCTATTGATTTGTTGATATCCTTAAATATTATTACAAATTATCCCAGTCTGTGGTTTACCTTTTAACTTTGTTTTTGTGGTGTCTTTCATCATAAAACAAAACAAAACAAACATGTTGCCTTTGAGTTGATTGTGACTCATAGCCACCCTATAGGATAGAGTCGAACTGCCCCATTTTACCAATTTCTGCAGTCTGTAATTGATCAAACATGCAATCAAGATGAATTGATAATTACTGGTGATTGAAATGCAAAAGTTGGAAACAAAGGTTTCCCTGATTCTAATTTTTATGGAAGCAAACTGCCACATCTTGCTCCCTTGGAGCAGTTAGTGGGTTTGAACCGCTGACTTTTCCGTTAGCCACCCAGCACTTAACTACTGTGCCACAAGGGCTCCTTATCTTTCATCATACAGAAGTTTAAAAATTGGTGCAGTCATTACGTTTTTAAGGTTCATCCAAGTTGTTGAGTGTAGCTGTATTGTTTTTATTGCTGATTTTTTCATTTCCTTGGTCCATTTCATTGATATATAGCAAATGTTCCATTCATTCTGCTATCATCCAGTTAATGGTTGCTATGAACAGTGTTGTCATGAACATTCTTGTACAAGCATCCTTATGGCCATTCTAAGATACATACCTAGGAGAGGAA